TCATACGTCACTTTGGAGTCGAAGACGGTCTACAAGTCGTGAGGTGGTCCTTTTGGAACCCTCACAACTCAGTTTGGATCTGCTTCAAACCATTCATTCACAGCTGGCTGCTAACGTGGATAAGCATATCACCTCGCATTCATATCATAATCGCGAAGAGTAAGCCTTCCAGCCCTCCAACTTATCCATTTATTCATCATCTCATCGTCTTGCTACTTCATTTCATTCAGAGAGACAAGTCGAAGAGGATGTGAATTGCGGTTCTTTAGAGGCTATGTGCGTTTCCCTCCTACCAATGGGATGGGGAGGGAACCCGATCCCAGGCATCTTTGTGGAGATACTAGTGAAAGTGAAGTGGATGACGAGTGTAATTCTGATCTCTCCTCGAGGCATACTCCTCCACCATCTAATTCTGAAGCATCGACAGTGCAGACGTCTTTCTTAGGCTCTGATGATCTTTGTAGGTCTGATTGTATTGAGTGAGGCACCAGGTTCTTATTGGCTGTGAGGCATATTTTGTCATATTGATGGGGCTTCCTTCTCTTTTCTATCTCCTTTTGTATCACTAATAATGCTGTAGAAGGCAAGATGCTGCTGCTGCTGCTGCTGATGAGCTTTTACTTATGTATTAATAAAGTTGAATGAATTGTTTCTGTTTAAATTGGCAAAATTTTATTGGTCCTACTTACGTATTTATTAAGTAGTATGTGTGATGGCAACACATAGGTATGTGGGAAGTTTGATTTACTGCTGATATAACTTAAGAAGTGTTTAACTTCAGTTTTTGAAATAATTTAAGGAAAACAACACCCAAGTGAACGCTGTTAACGAAATTTTTTTCACAACTCTGTCATTTGAAGACGCGTTGCACATGAGTCAGCTTTTAGAGTGAACAAACGAAAAACGAAACCGTCAATACAATACGGCGTAGGCAAACATGATGGTTGCAGAGACAATGGCAAATGCACAAAGCAGAAGGAATACAAATTTAAGGACCTGTGTCAACAGACTATACTGTCGACGCTTTAGAGCATAGGCCTGTTGCAAATCAAAGTTTGGCTGTGCTTCTCCTCCCTCAAGCACATCCTGTGGTGCCAGAGCTGCAGGACCGAGGCCCAGCATAACCAGCTCATCTGGACAGGGTAGATTCTCTGGACAAACTTCTACTTGACGACGTCTGCCACCTCGACATGTAGTGCCATGAAGACATCCACGCACTCGTTCTCGGTAGCGGATCTTCCCGTGTCCACAGGCTGGAGAACAGGCTGACCATGGACTCCACTGACCCCAGCTTCCACGAAGGTTTTCACAACGTTTACCATAGGCCTCCTCAGGACACAAACAAATCATATTCTAGCGGAGGAAATAAGGTGTTTATAAATCAGTCATTTGGACGCATTTAAACAGATGTGACATACAGAACCATCGGCTGATGATATACAATCGCCTCGAACGCAGACTTCCGAAGCACATTTGTCTTTGAGAGCAAGGCAATTGTCGAACTCAAGGCCAGCATCTTTTGTCCATGATGTGGCACATCTGGAGGAAGGGAGTGTGTTCTGTCACTCAACTTACCGACATTCATAGAAGTCACTGCCCAAAGTTGGAATGCATATTCCGCCCTGGCCCGTATTGCAGGCCATATTTCCCGGCATCTTCTCCTTATCCGAGAGCTCAACACATGGATCACGCGGTGTACTGCATGTTGGTCCCATAAAAGTCAACTAAAAATTGGCATTCATGCAAGGGCAACCCACCTTACAGAGACAAATTGCAGTACTTGTTCCAGGAATTATGTCACATCTACGTGTTCCAAGAGGGCTGCAATACGACTCACAGATGTCGACTGCAACACAGGCCCCAAATTCATCAGATAGAGGAGTTTTTACCTCATCCTCCTCAGTCTCTTCCTTACTCCCAGTTATAGCAGCCACCCATTTGAAGCCTGGAAGACATTCACATCTGAAGTCGTTCATGAATAGACCTCGACCAGTCAGATGACACTGTTGTCCGGTAGTATGCGGCAAAGTTAGACAGGGCGAAGTTGCACATGGATTTGGACAAAAACCATCGGGGACATCTGTTTCCAGGAGTGAGCTGTCCCGACGCATTTCAGCACAAAGATGAAAGAGAAATGTACTACTTAACTCATCTAGTCTGGATGGAGCTTGAATTGAGGTTGTGTGAGGTTCACTTTTATGCCTATACAGGGTATGGTAGAAGTTGGGCATTTGTGAAATCGCCGTCCAAAAAAGGAGTCGCCATCCACTCATTGCTAGGATAGAGAGTGGGATATTTTGAGTTGAATTGGAGGGATAAATGTAGGTATTCACCAGAGGTACATTGATTGCTCCCACTCTTGCCGCCTTTCTATCGTTCATCATTGCTTTTTCATCGTAGATGAGGAGACGAAGAGCCTGTGGTTGAATGTAGTGCTGAAAATTGGCGGGACGAATGGCATTGAGCCATACATGCTTGGTTGACTCAATCACACTCTCCTGTGTGGAAATGCGTTCGGATTTCACCTTGGCAAGGTGGAGGAGGTGCTTTACGTAGGTGGGAATGTGAAATTCAATCCGTCCGATGGGTGCAAGCAACATGTCAGCAGGAATGTTAAAGACAAGGCTGTCTGGCAGAACCTGAGTGCGACGCAGATAAGAGGGAAAACCGTATTTGCTAGCTCGTAGAACTAAATCCATCATATCGCAGTAGGGTGTAAAGTGCGGGAAGAAAAAGTTGATTATTTCATCACGATTTGGGGTGAGAAAGTCGAGTGGCGATTCCCTTTGTTGAGCCTGACATAGTAGAATGCAGCACCATACACAGAAATGGTGGATTCGCATTGCTTTATTTGTTCATCACAGGCGTGTGAAATTGATTTTATTTTAGGTATTTATTGGTTAATTGATTTGAGATCATTGCTAGGATATGGATTTGAGAGTCTACAAACTGCGCTTATCAGAATGACATTTCGATAGGTTGAAAACGCATTGTGACCACCCCCGTGCGGGTTGGGGAAATTTGGGAGGGGAGAGATAAAAATTGCTCAACGTTGTCACTTTTTTGTTTAGGTTTTGTATTGCAATGCATCGATTGGTTTGGATGTAGTGGGGAGGGAGGGGGACAGGAGGAAATTTAACCTGTCTTTCATTAAACTTTCGCTGAGTGGATCGCCTCCCCCTAGGCTGTGGATCTAGGTGCAGTGTGTTCGGAAGCCCAACATATTGTTACCCGGTACTTGGAGAAGGGTGGAAAGTTAGTTCAGTTTTTAAAGCCAAAATGGGTAAAAATGGTCTATTCATGAAGTTGATATGGGTGTAATATCTCAGTTTCACGTGGCTGAATCTTCCACAAGCAATGTAATAGTATTTCTCGCAAGCACAAATGTTGTCTTGATTTAAAATTGAACGTCTTAGAGGTTTCGAAAATTGGGCGTGTTGACACAAACGGTACTACTAAAATCAGATTCAGTAGAATTTTGCGCTCTTCGCATGCATTAGTCGCGTATTCGGCTTCAAGCAGTACATTTTGCGAAGTAAAGCATGACTGAGCAATAACGAAAACTGTTAAAAAATGGTGACTCACATAGAATCAGGTACTTGGAAGAGTATGTCGTCTAGTGCGATGGGGCTTTTAAAGGTTGAAGTCCATGATGAGGATAAGGGGAAGGCGCCGACGCTGACGTTGCGTTTTTAGCCTTGTTAAGGTCGCCGGATTTGGTACTGAGCTTTTGAAACCAGATGACTCCAGTAGTTACCTTTACGACAGGATACACGTGCAACTATTTGGAAGACAACATTCGCAGGCACTAACATGATTTTGGGACTGGCTGACTCGACAAATGAACAACT